ACATTCTCGTCCCAAATTGGATACAAATACTGGTGCATAGATCAATATAAGGTGTCGAATGTGACTGAAATAATGACAACTCCATTGCACCGTAACAAGGAAAACGTTTCGAAGAGGGCGGTAAATGACCTCGAACTCGAGGTATCCCCTAAGCAGCTCAGCAGTAACCCGTGCTGCTAGTGTGTGACATTGCACACCCTGCCGACAGTGCATGACACAGGGTACCCCTGTCATGAGGATGTGAAACTGTGCACCATCAGCTGCCATATGTCACATAGTCTTCCCCTGCTTTTAGTATATGATGCCGTATATCCATGCTGCCAGTGTAACATACTGTACGTCCGCTGCTAATGTGCGACGCGTGGCCCTTCTGCCGCATGTTACACAGCGTGTCACCTTCGGCAGTCTGTGACGACCTGGCGGTGACCGGTCGCCTTCTGACCAGGCTGGACGCTCGCGCCATGGCTGAGGCCTGGAAGTGCTACCTGCGCCTGCTCCAGCTGCTGCCGGAGCGGCTGCCGGCCAGCGCCGACCTGCCACGGGCGCTGACCTTCATGGCCGGCGAGGTCACTGACCGCCTGGCCGAAATACGCCAGACGGCCGCCGACAAGGTCAGAACGGCGCCCTGTGGCGGCCTGCGAACGGCTGGCGTTTGTTAACCCGCGAGGGCGGAATTACACGGTGTTCAGAACATGGTAACCGACGCCTCGTTTTGCACTTGAATTGCTTGAGGGCATGCTTCGCTCCCGGGTTGTGTTTTATTTGCACCACACATCGCAAGTCTTAAAGTGTCAGAATTTCACTATGTGCTATCAAACTGTGTAGGGTGTTTGCAATCAAAATGCGCGCAGATGAGCACGCATGAGCACTGGATACAGCACCGCATGCAAATAGGATTTTCAGCGGGCATAATCCGTTCAGCGTTTGTGGTCCATGAACTCATTTGAATATGGACCCTGGGGTTGCAATGACATTAACGTATGTTTCATCCTCTGTCATGTGTCGCAGCTTGTAACGTTGTACCCGCTCCGCAGGCGTCTGGCGGTGACCAGAGCCGGCCGCTGTCGAAGGCGCTCAAGATGTGCGGCTTCTACCTGAAGCTGGCCGTCGGTCTGAGTGAGAGCTACACAGCGCAGGCGCGAGGCGCGTTCGGCGCTCTCACAGAGCTGGCGTTCACCCTCACCAGGCAGGTGCCCGACTCGACCCGTGTGTTTCAGCAGGCGCGTTCAGCGTTCTCACAGAGCTGGCGTTCACCCTCACCAGGCAGGTGCCCGACTCGACCCGTGTGTCTCAGCAGGCGTGTTCAGCGCTCTCACAGAGCTGGCGTTCACCCTCACCAGGCAGGTGCCCGACTCAACCCGTGTGTCTCAGCAGGCGCGTTCGGCGCTCTCACAGAGCTGGCGTTCACCCTCACCGGGCAGGTGCCCGACTCGACCCGTGACCCTCGACCGACTCGACCCGTGTGTCTCAGCAGGCATCCTGAAGCAGCTGTATTTCTCGCTCAGCTCAGCAGCTGAGCCCCGCCAGTTGCCGCCTGTGTTTAGGTTCGAGCTGGTATTGAATTGCAGTCGGGTGGTAATCGCCATGTGTATGCTACTGGAAATTTTACCTGCTCGGTGCAATACTACGGCGTTAATGTTGTGTGGATTCGTTCTGCGTTAATACGTTAATGTGCGGAAGAAAGGAAAGGTAATACAAAGGGATTTTATCATTAGTGATAGATAGGGGAAGTGCCATTCCACCATTGTTTAACCTGACTGCGTACGGATCACCACAACCGATCTGCCAAAATTAGTGCCGTCGTACAGATCACCATAAGCGATCTGCCAAAATCAGCGCCATTTGGTCACGGTCATCCTGCTTACGGCTACTCTGTCTCGGCACTCCGCCGCCCCGCAGGTGCCACCAAATCGGTTGATGCTGTACCTCCTGCCAAGCAGATGACATGTAAGGCAGCTGATGATCGTCTGATGAGCTGTGTCACCACTGTACCTCCTGCCAAGCAGATGACATGTAAGGCAGCTGATGATCGTCTGATGAGCTGTGTCACCACTGCCGCAGGTACTCCGCCCCCGACGCGCACGTAAACGACCTGGACCCTGCTGTGCTCAGTCAGCTGAGCAGTCAGCTGACGGTGGCCGCCGAGCCGCTGCTCTTCAGCATGATGGAGGATCAGGCATACCCAGAGGTGAGCAGTGATGACCATTTAGCAATATTCAATTTTGTTCATGGATGATAGGCATACATTGTCTTGCGTCGTAGTAGGATCATGTAATTATGTAAAGCTATGTAGAAAATAAAATTAGGTAGGATTATTAATTGATACATCGTGACTGTTAATGCATTTTTCTTTTGTTTTGTCTCAGTCGTCTTGTCATTATTTTACTTCGTCGTTGTATACATTTACTGATATGCACGCTTGCCTCCAATTATGTAATGTCGATCGATTACCAGTGATGCGGCAGGGGTGATGACGAGGCGCGGATGGCGCCCGCCGACGGCCAGGCGTTGAGGCGTGGTCGCCACACACAGCTGCTCGCTGCCACGTCGCCAAGGTTTCCCAGACCGGACCTTTGACCGGACAGACCGGACCTCTCACCCAGCTCACTGTCTGATCTGTGCTGCGCCGCAGCCGTTCTGGGAGGCCCTGGACGCCAGCGAGGCTCTCGGGCCGCTCTGTCGGCTGCGCTGCTGCCTGGCGCTGGCCCGCCGGTGCTGCCACCTGCCGGAGGCGTCACGAGGCGTGTGGACGGCCGGTGCCGACCGGCGCCACCTGGTGGCCGCCGCGCTGGACCTGCTGCCGCGCTGTACGTGGAATCCGTGTGCATGACGTGTGGTGGCCGACTAAATAGCGAATACGGGAGGGGATGGGTGCAGTGGGACGGCTGGCAATCGTGATTGCGAATGCGTACTTTGCTCACAACCAGGACTGTTGTTTATAGCAAAGGAATTGGTGCAGAGGCGTGGCCATATAACCATAACATTTGATGCGGCCGGCAATGGTGCGGACGCAGGTGGTGTGCAAGTGTTCAAAGTGTACAGTTTCCTTCATTGTCTGCATACAAACATACAGTGCGACTTACCTCGACACCGTGATACGCAGTGGAGCGAGCGCTTCCTCATGCCAGCCGGGCGGGGTGTCGGCAGGTGACGTTGAGCTGGCCTGCGGCGCGCCCGTGGAATCCGATATCCACAATCGACCCCGGGTCAGCCTGTACGAGCACACCCTGGTGTCGGTCTGCGCCCTGGTCGGTACGTGCCCGGGGAGACTCCACGGTCGTGGCGTGGCCTGGGAGGCTCTCTCTGGCCGGTGCGTGTGCCGGGGTGGGCCGATCGCGAGCTGGGCACCTGCCGTTGGGCTGGTTCAGCCGTCAGCGATGCTGTGCGTTTTGTGGGTTTGCTCTCTTTTGGCTTGTACCTCTTATGCTGAACGGTGTCCAAGTGGCGCCCGCCGTGTCGCAGGACATCGTCCTGCCGGGTCCTGTGGCGATGCGAGTCGCAGCCGATGCATCCACTTAGCGTGTTACTCTGTTTAATCCTGCCGATCTTCGACAGGGGTTCTTTGAAATGCGAAGCATGCAGTACCCGTTCCCTGTCGTGAAGCCGGTCTGCGGTGGCGATTGGCCACTGACTGTCTGTGCCTGCCGGCAGGGAGCCTGACAGCGCCCGAGCTGCGCGCTACCGAGACACACCTGTGGCGCCACCTGTGCCAGTCTGGCGTCTGGGGCGCGCTTCTCGCCGCCGACGTCCTCTGTTTTAATCGCCAGGCTAGTGCTCTCTGTGTGCCTGGAGTGTTAACTGATGAGGGCCTCATCCACTGCATCAGTAATTGGGTTGTGGTTTGTCTAGTGCGTGGGGGGGGGGGGGGGGAGGATATGCATGTACACTACAGTGTCTCTGATTCGAGACTGTTTGTCTATTGAATAGCGACATCAAAGTATGTATGCAAGATGCGATTGTCTTCTTTGATTAAGAAATGATCCGCAGGCGCTACTTCAGGAATCAGGGAGGGTTAGCTGGCGCGCATCAGACGCCGTTGGCCAGATGGGCGAAGTGTCGTTACGTAAACCGCCCTGACGGCTCATACGGCACTGTATGCACGCGTACGGTATGGGACACTGCGCATCTCTGCCGCCTGCAGCATGGTCGGTAGGGGGGGGGGGGGCTGTGTCGCGCCCCCTGTCCGTGTCGTCATCGTTCCCTGCCTGCACAGGTACGGCCCCGCCGAGCTGTGCAGGGACTACTGCTCGGCGGCGGCCGGCGCGCTGGCCCGCCGCCGCTCGCCCGCCCTCTGGCGGCTGCTGCGCCGACTGCGGCCACTGCTGGCCGACCAGCACCGCGCTCAGCTGCTGCGCGCCGGCAGCCCGGCGGCCGACACGGCCGCGCTGCTGCGCCGGGCGCTGCCGCTGGCCGAGCGGCCGGGCAGCCTGACAGGGCCAGAGCTGCTGCAGCTGGTACGGCTGCCGCCAGACGCAGTTTGGCCACCAGTAGGGCGTCACTGGCGCCGGTAGCGCGCTCATTTTTGTATACAAACAACTATTACGTGACTCATGCCTCCGCCATGTTCAACAGCTGGGATACGTTCCTGAACTGCTAACTGCCAACTGACTTTTAACTGAACTGTCAAATCACCAAATTAACTCTGACGCACTGATTTAGACTCCCGAGGTGTGTTGTTTCAACAAGTGCGATCGCCTCCTTCAGTGTCACGTTTGTATTCACTCACGCCCTGGCCTTACAATGAAGCCATGACAAAGCAATGGTGTGGCCATTACGCGAGCGCATGGCAAGAGGGTGTTGTGTTCTTGCCCTGTGCCAGCACATGGCAAAAACCACGAGCCAGCAACCGGCTGCCGCTCTGAGAGGTGGTGGCCGTTACAGACGGACGCGCTGGGTACGGCGGACGTGGGCGGCCGGCTGCGCAGCTTGTGCCGGCGAGCTGGCCTCCCTGGAGCGGCTGTGGGGGCGGCGCTGCCGACGACTTGTGGCCGGTCCGGCCGCCGGCATGCTGGCCGCCGCTCTGCTGACGGCCACGGCGGCCCTGGCCGAACCGGCTGACTGACGCACGGCTGGCCGAGGTCAGGACGGCTCCTGGCCGGGCTCGGGGCCGCGCTCGGGACAACGCTCGGGGCCGGGCTCGGGGCCAGGCTCCGTGGCCGGGCTCGGGGCCGGGCTCGGGGCCGGGCTCGGGACCGGGCTCGGGGCCGGGCTCGGGGCCGGGCTCGAGGCTCGGAGCCGGGCTCGGAGCGGCTCCTACCCACACACTGAATATGTGGGGTAATCGGCGGTTATCGGCACCGGGGAGGGGACGCCCCTGCCGTGGGACAGGACACGGGCAACATTACTGTGATGTGTTTGCTGTGCTAATGAAGCTTGCCGTGGTCTGCTGTGCTCGAAAAGTGGCATCCCCTCGCTCGGAGATTTTCCACTCCTCAGGAAATATTCCAGTGCATGCCGCTATTCGAGAGCTGCTGCGTTATATAAGATGAATCCTGCGTCAGATCCTGAATGGTGTGAAATAAAATTCAGCTTTTGCTATAGCTTTTTGTCATAATTTAATATTTTTTAATATTAATAGCATTTTGTTAACATTTCAAAACTTATAAGGCCTTGAAATGGTAATTTTTATCTCGCATTTCAATTATGGGGTCTTTTGCTCACCAGTCCAGTAAGCGAAAACCAGACTGAAGTCCAAGCGCTGTTGGTCTGTCTCAGCGGCGTGGTTCTTTGCCTCAGGTTGTGCGGCTGGCTCTGGGCTGGCTGCCTAGCTGCAGTGTGCCGGTGCGGCTGGCCGTCGTCACTCTCCTCAGGGTCACTGCAGGTCGAGAGCTCCGGCCCGGACCCGGCCGCGCCGTCTCGGCAGATGTGCTGCCCGGTGTGTACATACCTGGGCGGCTCGCTAGGTCTAGAACCAGCATGTCGAGCTAATTGTACCATCACAATGCCTGCTGCTGTGTGGGCTGTTGCTTTGCAAGTAACGTGAAACATCGGTTGTGTTCAACGTATTTTGAACCAGACTATTTGTCAGCAAGCCTTTGCATGATTTTCCTTCCGCAATGATGATCCCTCGTGCTAATCAGTCCGATTCATTTCTGTAGCAGCCATGTATATATATATATATATATATATATATATATATATATATATATATATATATATATACACGTACATCCTTACTGAGGGATTGTCCTTCCCGTGGTGCATTACAGATCTCGTCTCGTAATCACACATTGGCCTTTACCGGTACATGTGTGTGTGCGTTTGACACGCGGACGCTTTTCATAGGCGTCACTGCTAACCAAGCGTGTGGTGGTGCTCTCCGCAGAGCTGTACCGATGCCTGCTGACGGACGGGGATCGACTGGTCCGCCAGCGCGCCCTGGAAGCGTTCGCCAGCTCGCGCGCGCCACGCCGCGCCCGGAGCTGATGGCGGCCGCCGTCGCGACGCCGCCCGGTCTGCAGGCTCGGGTCAGCGGCTACCTGCGCCTGATGGCCGGCCGGCCGCTCGGCCCACCAGCGCTCTGTGGCCGGCTCCGCGCTGCTGCTGCCAGCCGTCGCCGTCGAGAGGCCTCGCCGTTCGGACGGGACCCCCGCCGTCGGACCTCCGGCCCGGCGGACGGTGCTCCGGCCGGCTGCGACCAGTCGGACGGGGCGTGTCGGCCGCAGGAGGGGACGGGGCGCGCTGACCCGCGGCACCAGGACTGCGGCGCTCGCACTCCGGCCGCTGCGGCCGGTCCGCAGGAGCCGGCGGACGGTGTGGACCGCCCGGAGGGACGGCCGCCCCGGAGCGCGCCGGGCAGCCGGCAGGTCCAGCCTGGCCCAGATGGACCTACTGGCCGACCTCGACGCCGAATACGAGGCCCGCGAGGCGACCGACGTCATCGGCCGGATAGAGGCGCGACTGCGGCGGCTGCGAGAGGCGGCCGCTCCGCCGGCCGACGCCGGCAGGCTGGTGGCCGTGCTGGCCGAGGTGGAGACGCTCCTCGGCTCGGTGTAGTGGTCTGCCGCCGGCGGGTAGCGGCGGCGGCGGCGGCACTGGCGGGAGTGCCAGTCCGGTCACCAGGCACCTGCTGTAGTGTGAGCCTTCATATGTGAATATTGCGACTGTCTCTCCACAGTTTACTTTCATACATTTTGCGGCAGTGTAGCCATAGGAATGGGACAGTAGTTGGGAGATGTAGTTTCTGCGTGTTTTCTGGCGTCTTATAAGTAATGTTTCTTTTCCGGCACGAAACGTGCAGTTAATAGGAGAGGTTGTGTTAAGTGCTCTCAAAAGGCTGGATCCGATATGCATCTGATCGCAGCGACCAAGAGCGTCCATCGGAAGCGACGACTAAAACCGTGATGTTCGGTGTTTTGGTGGTCTGGGGTAACGAGAGCATTCCTGAACATTCCTATTGTAGCTCACCACAGGCCTGGCGGTTGGCCAATGGCTGCCACGCACGATCCTTGAAGGCGGGGAAACAGCTCAGGTCTAGGAGGATAGTAAATTCGTTCTGAGGTCTTTTTCGATGTGGTTAGCAGGGGTAGTAGTTTTGCAAAATAAGTTTGCGGACTCAACAGTGGAAATCATAAAAACTGTTCCAAATATATCAACAAACGAGTGTCTTCAAAGATTTTGCCCACTTTCTTGCCAAGGTTCGAGGCTAGAGCTCAGGTTAGAGGGCTGAAGCACCCTCCCCCGCTCAATGGACGAGAAACTACACCTCTGCCCACTCGTTTGATCAACTGAATGGCATAAAGCCCGAATTCCAAATACTCGCAACAACTCTTGTAGCAGTCACAAAGTGGAGCAAGCAGTGACCAACAGTTAACATGTGTCACACTGTCTTCAGCCCGCTGTGTGCTGACATTCCATCACCATGCCGCATGACCGGCGGCATACTATAGCCGTCAGCGGCGAGTCGGCCTCGCCACCCGTCATGACCCAGCTGCGGTACTTCGGCGCGGCTGGAAGCTCGCCCGAGCGGGGCGGCAGAACACTCGGCTGGACGTTCGTACTCGGCTTGGTTTGGGCTCCTTTTGCGACGTAAATCTCAATGCCGGAGGTAACATAGAGTTGCCGCAACGATATCCTCCACTTCTACCTCTCTGCTCTTTCCTTTGGCCGTGCAATGATCACTGTTGCCCTAAAAAGTTTTAACCCGCAGTCAAACCAACACAGCAAACAAATGTAGCAACAGCAGCTTGTGCGAGCAGTCAAAGTGCCGTTCGTAGTCGCCAACCGGGATCTGGGAAGGGTAGCATCCGTGGAGCAGACTACTCAAAGAAGGTGGCTGCCGTGCTCCAGAAACGATTTCCCGGATGACGCTCAGCCCCAGTACTATTTCACCGAGTGTGGAAAACACGACTTGTCACGAAACAGCCGCCGCGACTTAACCTTACTCCGATCAACCGTGCACTTGGAACACGTCGCCTAGCTTCTGCTACATTGCTTCTGGGTGCTGATTATAATTGGGAATATCAAAGCAGTTTGTAAGATAGTGGTCACCCTAAATGACTTAAAGTCAAGGAGGGTTGCTGATCTAAGAATACCAGTAGCCTTTTACTTATAGGATGTATCTAAATTAGAGGTGGTTGTAGAGGAGGTCTCAGGACAATGCGGACCTCAATCTTAAGTTTGACTTGATTTACTTCATTTCAACCGAATGTCATAATCAAAGGATCACGTCATTTGACGAGATTGGGTTCACATAGAGCATTTGCTATTGACGTTTTTAGCTGCCTTCGTTTTAGAGGCCTCGGTGGGTCAAATTAACACTCCCCGAGCGCGTGGTCCCAAACCGGCCACCCGGTCGCAGCATCCCTTCGTAAGGCGATGAGGAAAAACGCCCACAAGGAAGGGTGAGGGGCCCCCTGTACAACACACTAGCAACAGTTAGGTGCATGAACATTCGACTTGAGGATATGCTACTATTTAACATTCGAGTATATGGCATTTCGGCAAATAAAGATACGACGAAAACACATTTCGTGAGTTAATATTCTGTAAAAGAACACTTCGGCGAATTGGCATTCGTTTCAAGAAAGTTTCGACAAATGGACGTGTGAGCAAAGGAAATTTTGGCATATTTAAACGTGTGTTGTGATCTATCAACATTTCGTCAATTTGACACTCTGGCAAAATGCCGTTCGACTTTTAGCGTTGATCTTCATTGACACAGGGACAAAAAGACGCCGACAAGATAGCATTCCGTTAAATGCAGTCAGCTTTTTGGGCTGGGGTCCAAATACATGCCAGTTGTCTTTCTGGATACCGATTGCCGACAACCGACCGATCTCGTATAGCAAGGCTGATTTAATTGGTCAAGACCGTGCGCCATGATGATGAAATTGTAATATTCCCGTCTGTGATGGCAGAAACTCATCGCACGAAGAAAGAACCACGGCTCGCCAAACCGCGCGTTTTCGTGTTTGTACAGCTCATGCTGTGAGAACATAAGGTTATGTCGAGCATCGGTACCTTATAGGTAACATCCTGCTGGTTCCTAACAATAGTCCGCAAAGACTATCCTGTTTCACGTTACCCCGGCGGAAGTCGTGAGGCACATTACGTCCCGCCAATGCAGTCTTTTTCCTACTGTAAACGAGAATAGCGATTTTCGACCTTATTCAGCCATAATGCATGTAATGACATCGTGACAACTGATCTAAAAAACCGTGTTCAGTCATCGGGTTGACGGGCCCGCGATTAACCAGCATAGATAGGTGTCTTGTCAGCACATTTATCTTGGATCACAGCACGTTTAGAACCAATCGTTTAACCATCGTGACAGGGTGTTAATATGATGCAATTTTCAACATCACTACTCCATGCAAGTCCTGTACCGTCCACACCACCTAAGTCACGAGCCCATAATGCTACACCGTGTCAATCATTTTAAGCTCATCTCATTTCTGTTACCCTGGTTCCTTGGCGAACATTGTGGGTGACAGAGTGAGCCAAAAGGCGAGCGAGCCGAATGTATTTTTCCTCAGTTTTTCTTTAATTTTCGGAACAGGATAATCTATCGGAAATCCTCATGCTCCGGACTCTTCGTATACCAAAATCACATATGTAATCACATTTAAACAAAATATTGATTATGTGGTATTTTTACACAACATTTCACGCACACGTATGGCGTACTCAGAAAATGGGCTTTGGATATGCGCTGGTCTTTACCTAATGCCTAATGTGACTATCGTGTCTGGAGCCACTTCTCGTCCGTTGCGCAGGAAATATCTCAGAAAGTTTTCAAACCTGTATTTGTTGATGCATTGTTTCCTGACAAATACCGCACGCGCATTGGTATGCCTACCGCCGTTCTATGGATCATGAATTAATCACCTCAACCAATATTCTTTATGAAACATCGTGAAAACACGTGACAAGTTGGTGGCTGCGCGTCGAGCCGTTTTAGCTCGACACCTGGCGGAGAGCTTGTGACCGAAATTCCGCTGTGGACCCGCTGGCAGACAGTGTCTGACCCCCGGCGCCAAGCACACAAGACAAGACACCGGGGCGATCGGTGCCGGGCGGCCTACTTGCCCAGGATGATCTTGCGGCCGGCGCCGATGTTCTGGCCGGCTTGCGAGGCGCCCTGGTTGGTGCCAGCCTGCAGGCCGATCACCGTCTTGCCAGCGGCGATCGTCTCGTCGTCAAACTCGCGCACGTTCGCTTCGGCCGGCTTCGGACCAAGCCAAGGCCCCTTCCACTCGGCGTGGAGGTACGTCTAAAACGTGGCGGAAGTGAGCGTCAGCGCGTTACTTACTCCCCCTCCCTCATCATCCCACTGCTGTGTTGACGGCCGGATAGTCCCAGCTCAGCCCCCCCCCGCCGGCCACTGGGAGGGCGACAGCAGGTGGTAACCGGTCTACTTTCCGATGATGATCTTGCGGCCGGCGCCGAAGCTCTGGCCGGCCTGCGTCGCCACCTTGTCGGAGCCAGGGCCGGCCTGGATGCCAATAAC